GGGGCACTTTAACCTCCCTGGCGGTATTCCCAAGTGTAGCTCGGGGTTACTTTTCCATATCATAAGCGGTAACCCCGAGCTACACTCCGGAATGCCGCATAGCATTTACTTACCTTGTCCCTCTAGCCGCGCTGTGTTTTGCAGCCGATGCCGGCTTCTGGGTTCCGTCGCTTGCGAGCGTACGCGTCGCAGGAGGGCAGAACCGGCAGGATATTACAAAAAAAACGGAAAAAAACGACAAAGACGAAAAAATGCGAAAAAAAATAGACCGAAAATTGACATGAAAATTGACATGAAAAAAATTTAAAATCATACCGCTAGGGAGGTTAAAGATAAAACATGCAAAGTTCATGTCTAAGGGTACCTAAAAAAGATGAAGCATGCAAAGTTAATGTTAGTCTACTTGTGATTACTATATAAAAAATGCAGGGTTGTTTTAAAAAATATATATATATTGTTACCCTTGGCTTTTTTTTACAGAAAGACATGGTCATCACCCCATACACAGCAAGTTAAACATACAGTAAGAGATACATGTAATTACATTCTAACAAATTAGGTTGCTGATATTTCCTAATTAAGCCTTGTACAATCTACACTGACAATCTTTGTAGAATTACACAAGGCTTCCCCTTCCAATGCCAAGCATTGGGAAGAGGACCAGCTGGTTCACTGTAGAATACACAACTTCCGACACTCCTGGAAGTGTCCAAGGTGATTACAAATAAAGTCTCTGTTTTCAGCACAGTGAAGAACGTAGACATCCCAGGTATGATAAAGTTTGAAACACTAAATCATAAATTATAATATAATAAATAATAAACTCAAAGCCGAATGCCGGCATCGGCCTGAGCGCACACAGCAGAGGGTACCGCGGGCTTGCAAGGACAAGGTAAGTGACACTTTTGTGCAATCCCAAGTGTGGCTTGGGGTTACCGCTCTTGGTACTAAAAATTAACCCCGAGCCACACTCTGGAATACCGCCAGGGAGGTTAAGCAGTTTTTTTTACAGGGGTTGCTTTACTAAAGGAGTAGACCATATTTGCTTTGAAAGTGAATTTTCACTTTGATGGGGAATTTCTACTTACCGTAGTGAATGTGGGGAAAATCCACTCTTCAAAGTCCAGCTAATTATGTGCAAAATAAATCTATAGGGGTTATTCACAAAGGAGCTGAAGGATCCAGCCGTAGCTTCGGATGATCCTTCACCTCTCTTTGGCCGCCCTATGAGAATAGGGGCGAACGGTAGCGAGTATGCTGGTGGAGTTTTGGCTCAGCCGATCCAGATGTTGGATCAGCTGAGTCGAAGTCCTTCTGCACTTCGGCTCAGCTGAACATGCAGAGCATGTTCAACTGATCAAAGTGCAGCTGAAGGCAGCCAATGTAGGACTGATTTCAGCCGATGTACTGCTGAAATCAGCCATACTGAGCCGTAGTGAATTGCTGAATGTTGTCCAGCTCACTTCACTACGGCTCGGTTATTCACTCGGCTGCTTTTGACGGCTTTGTGAATAACCCCCTATGTTTTTGCTTGCACATGATTGGATAATAGAGTCAGCACAGCTTTACCACATTGACTAAGCTAAGTGAAAATTTGCTTGAAATGTAAATATTTATTTTGCAAAGTGAACATGCTTTGCTTCTTTAGCATGTCAGCAAAACATAGTGACCAGGAGCTATCTCCATATACAACACACCAATTACCAAAGCAGTCAGACCACTGTTAACTTCAGAACTGTGAAATCCCTTCTTATATCGAGATAAAATATGATGCTGAAAATTCAAATCAATATAATGACAAATTAATAGTAACACTACTAATTAGAATGGTTTATAAAAAGCACTTAAATGTAAATTATTCAGTATGATGGGCCATTTCTAAACATAAGTAATCTAGATGGTCATTTGAAGTGCCACCAGCTGGAAAAGATGCCAGAGTGAAGTCAACCTCAAATTTAGGTGTCAGGAAGTACTAGGCAAAATGTATCTGTGAAATAGGTCTGTGAAGGTTCTCATTTATTCAGGTCATGGTATACCTGGTAGTAGTTGCAACTGGATATATTCTGTAATTGACCCTATTACAGTATTTATCCAATAGGGTTCAGATGCATGAGCATTAACAGACAAAAAGACAAAAACTGTTATGACATATTTGTTGTGTGCACAGCATACAAATGTAATAGCTCCATCTGAACGTATGGATTTACAATAATACCAGCCTGTCAAGAGGCATTGCAGTTTATACATTCAAACAGGCAATGCTCCTTATGATCAGTAACAGTGCCTCTGTCATAAGGCAACAAAGTAAGCAACAAAGTAAATACTGTCATAATAAAAGATAGGCTTTTTGATTCTAGCAAGTGAGAATTTTCATCAGGTTGGGAAAGTAATTTGCTTTAATACTAAACATAACTTGCTAAATTATGCCAAAAGACAAAGGGGTCTATTCACTAAGCTGCAGTAGGCTGTTCGGCTATTCACTTCAGGCTGGTACGGCTGAAATCAGCCGTACATCGGGTGGCTTCACGTGGCTTCGGGTCGGCCGAAAGGCTTTGGGAGTCTCCCGCTCCCTGCCGCAAAGGAGAGAAACACTGATTTTTCTTTTTTTTTCTTTATTCTGAATATATTATATAGAAACAAAAATAAAATAAAAATTTGCCCATAGGAATGCATTGCTAGATTCCTATTGGCTATTTCAATTTGCCATAGCCAATAGTAAACTATCATTGCACCCGCCCTCTGCTGCAGTTCTCCATCAGGTCCATCAGCAGAGGGCGGGTGCAATGCTAGTTTACTATTGGCTATTGCAAATTGAAATAGCCAATAGGAATCTAGCAATGCCTTCCTGTGGAATGCAAAGTGATTTACAAGCCACTGTTCTCTTCACTATAATGTAGATAGATTCAAGAGCTGTTTGTACTTGAGCCCTCATATGATTCCACTGTTAGGAGTAGGGTTATATTAAAAATAGGTATATTTAGGGGTACTATATACCACAGTCTCTAAGGCTGCCACTGTCATCTCTCTCTTTTTTTTTTTCTATTCTGACACGGCTCCGTGTCAGAATAAAGAAAAAAAAAGAAAAATCAGTGTTTCTCTCCTGGGCGGCCGGGAGTGGGAGACTTTTCTGTCTGGAGATCAGTGTCCCTGGTTAGCTGGTAAGTTAGCCGAAGGATTGGCCGAAGCTATGGCTAGATCCTTCGGCTGCTTCGTGAATAGAGTCTGGTAATGTAGAATGGCAATGGACTCCCCCAAACAGGAATTACATGCTCCAAAGAGGGCTCTACAAACCATGAATGATTCAGCCTGTGAAAACTATCTATGTCACAAGGAACAGGTGTTCTGATCTCAAAACTATTAGATTCAATAGGGTCATTAGAGGTTATCCAAGGTCAATGTGTTCTGTTTGAGGATGGGCTTTCTGGTTGAGAGGTGAGGACACTGTTGCTCTTCTCATACTGCAGTGCTAGGTGCAAGTTGTATAAAAAAGTGTGTCTTTAGCATTTTTTCATATGTCCAGGGATGGACTGTCGCAGTGTCACAGATAGATCATCCGATATATAATTTTCAAGTGGATTGTGGCAAAGACGTAGTGATTTCTCTGAGAAATTGGGATGGGTGGATGCCAAAGCAGAAACTCTAATGAGGTTATTCACAAAAGGGTGAAGGGTTTGGAGAAGGCAGGAGAAGAGAACAATCTAGGGCAACATAGCTGAACTGGAAAGTGAGCTGAAATGGATCATTTTTCCAAACCAGCTATTTTGGCCTAGATTGTTCACTTATCCTGCCTTCTCCAAACTCTTCACCCTACTGTGAATAGCCCTATAAGTTTCACTCTCTGAGTTTCATAATTTTGAAAGTGTGTTTTTTGAAGTGTATTGTTTTTTCCCTTTTATGTATTTGATTATTTTTGTGTACTGTTGTTCTAAATATTTTGTTTTACATTTTTTTAACTTCTTGTTTCTTTCTCTGGAGAAAAAAGGTGCATAATGAGATGTTTTTTGGCACTAGAACAGGTCAAACTTTGACTCCAATGCATTTTGCTTATATTTTGAAATTTCAGGGGAATGCAAACTCTCAGTTTCAATTATCCTTCCTGAGGAGGAGAGGTAGTAAATTCAGATACTGTATAGGTGGTGTCGAATACAGAGCAGTCTGCGCCGTATGGAAAGATATTTTCCTTTTTATCATAATTCACAAGCTTGTAAAAGAACATGTTTTTTAAAGATGGTTTTAATGCAAAATATACAACATGTTCATATAACCCAAGTGACCCTGCAACAATATATATTTCTCTTTTTATGTTTGCAAACAGTTTATGAAAAGTCAATGTTAAAAACAAATTACAGCTAAAAATTTAGTTGGAATGTATTTATGCTTTCTGAACCAATACACATACAGGGTTATTCATTCACAAAAGGGTGAAGAGTTTGGAGAAGGCAGGAGAAGTGAACAATCTAGGACAAAATAGCTGAACTGGAAAGTGAGCTGAACTGGAGAATTGTTCTAAAATCAGCAATGTGGTCCTAGATTGTTCACTTCTCTTGCCTTCTCCAAACTCTTCACCTTTTTGTGAATAACCCTGATAGTCTCTATATATACCATGCTATATATACCCAGTTCAGATTGCGTAGATGCTTTCCATGTGTCCCTAATACCTGTCATGTGACTTCTGATGGCAATTTCTGAACAAAAAGTTTAAAATCGAAAATAAGCTAATAGTTTGGGCTTGGCAAATGACAAAGATGCTTACCTGAATAAGTTTACATGGAGTCCTGAGAGATGACAGTGGCAGCCTTGGAGACTGTGGTATAGTACCCCTAAATATTCCTACTCCTAACAGTGGAATCATATGAGGGCTCAAGTACAAACAGCTCTTGAATCTATCTACATTATAGTGAAGAGAACTGTGGCTTGTAAATCACTCTGCATTCCCTTTTGTATGTATACATATCCTGGACAACTTCTTCATACAATCTATTTTTGTATTCCTTATGCAGGTGGTACTCCTTCAAGGCAGAAAGGATTTTTAGGATGCATTCGTTCTTTAAAATTAAACGGCATTGCCGTGGATTTGGAAGAAAGAGCTAAAGTGACCCCAGGAATTAAACCGGGCTGTCCAGGACATTGCAGCAGCTATGGAAACTTATGCCACAGTGGGGAGCAGTGTATTGAAAAGCCGGCTGGGTTTTCATGTGACTGTAGCGCATCTGCATATGCTGGAGCATTTTGTAAAAACGGTGGGTGTCACCTGATATTTTTTCACATTTTGTACAGGCACGTATTTAGAGTTTGTTGAAACTAGAAAGCTCCATTTAAATCATTTTAAAACTCTAATTCATGTTATTTACAGACAATAAAATAAACAGTGCATAGTGATAAAAATCTGCCCACTTGCTAATATTCTTTGAGTGCCCATTCATACCAGCTATGTGTTTGTTATGCATTTTGTGCATTTACTTGCATTTGACATGCATTTGGTATGCATTTATATGCATTTGCAATGTGTTTTTCCTAAGCTTTATGGCCTTTTTTTGTTCACTACAAAATATGTACCAAAATGATATGTGTGCTGCAGTTTTCTCCTAGATGTTGGCCTTTCTTCTGTTGTCCCTATAACATTTGTTCTGATGGTTATTAATCTCTGGGTACTCCTGAACCATGCTAACAAAGAATTCTACATCCACTTGGTTGCCATTATGATATGTAATTAACCTTCTGCACTGCTCTGAACACACCATATGTATAAATGTATAACCAGCAAGTGAAATGGGGATGAACCAGACATAAGAGGAGGCAGACTTTTCCAGAGTACCGTTTATGTGCATTATATTGCATTTACACGTGTTTAGGTGCATTAGCCTGCTGCATGTTTCCTTATTTGCAACCCAAAGTCATGCTGTGAACTATGCTCATTAGCCAACATGGATTTTGGGCTGTCCTTGCAGTAGGAATGTGTTTAAAAACACATCCCACTGCATCAGGTGTGAATGGGCCTTGAGAGTTTCGAAGCAGTTTTATTATCACCACAGACAGCTCTAAGGCTGTTTTGTTTTGCACATGATTAGGTATTCCAAATAAACATGGCTTTAAAATGCAACTTATCCAAAAAACTAAGGGGTCTATTCACAAAGCTGCCGAAGGATCTAGCCATAGATTCAGCTGTTCCTTCGGCTAGCTTCAATCCCAGGACCCCTTCGGTTCAGTAGAACCGAAGGGCTGCTGTACGGGCTATTCACTATAGCCCGCACAGCTCCCGAAGTTGGCCGAGGGGCTCAGTCAAGTCGAAGGCATATGCTTCGGCTCGACTGAGCCGAGGTGAAAGCCGAAGCTAACAGAAAGGCCGGCCATTGGCCTGCCGACAGCCTGCTACTGACTGCTGGGCAGAGCGGCTGGCTCTGGCCACTTGCACAGACTTGTATAGCCACTTGCATAGCTTTGGCTGATCCTTCGGCTAGCTTCGATCCCAGGACCCCTTTGGCCTGGGATCGACAGCCTGCTACTGGCTGCTGGGCGGAGCGGCTGGCTCCGGCCATTTGCACAGACTTGCATAGCCAATTGCATAGCTTTGGCTGATCCTTCGGCTAGCTTTGATCCCAGGACCAGTTCAGTAGTAGTTTTCACTAGTACTAGTTTTTCAGTAGTACTATTCACTATAGCCCGTACAGCTCCCGAAGTTGGCCGAGGGGCTCAGTCAAGCTGAAGGCATATGCTTCGTCTCAACTGAGGTAACCAGGGACGCTGATCTCCAGACAGCCCAACTCTCCTGGACGCTCCGGGAGTCTCCCGCTATTAGATAGCGGCTCCTGGCCGCCCGGAAAGAGAAACGTTTTCTCCCAAAAAGTTTTACTGTGCTCGATCGAGCAGAGTAAACCTTTCCCTGCTCTGTTGTCTTTTTTTTTCTTCTGACAGCAGCAGAACAGCCCAGCCAATAGAAAACAGGTACCACAGAGGTACCGAGCAGAATAGCTGAGGCTCCTCTTATGTCTATTCACTCACTGCTGTTCGGCATCTATGAGAATAGGCGGAACAGCAGCGAGTAGCCTGCCAGAGGTTCGGCTCAGCCGATCCAGATGTTGGATCGGCTGAGTCAAACTCCTTCTGCACTTCGGGTCGGCCGAAAATGCTGAGCATGTTTGGCCGACCCGAAGCCAGCCGCAGCAAGCCGATGTACGGCTGATTTTAGTCGGTGTACGGCTGAAATTAGCCGTACAAGCCTGAAGTGAATAGCCGAACAGTGTTCGGCTCACTTCACTTTGGGTCGGTTATTCACTCGGCTGCCTACGGCAGCTTTGTGAATAGACCCCTAAGTATATACCAGGCTAACTGAACCTTTTCTACTTCTTTGGTGTATCAACCCCAATAAGTTTCTCTTTTAAACCACTGAAACATAATATATCTTAATCCATTGTTACTTCATTTTCCATTATAATACATGCGGAGGAAGAAGAATATTTAAGTTTGTGAATGAGGGGTTGCTAGGAGTGATCCATCCAATTCTGTTTGCTCACCACTACTTAATATATCCTAATAATGTGCAAATGCACAGGTGGCAAAAATTGATTTATAAACACCCAGATGCACACATAAAGAACACTAGACATTCATTTTCTATCCAATTTCCTGCTGCATATTAAAAGTAAAAATAAATGTAACCCATTTTCCATTTCTTCTTTTGCAGAAATTTCAGCATATTTTCAAGCAGAATCATCAATAACTTACAATTTCCATGCAAATCACTCTATGGCTAAAAATTCAAGCTTGCATCCATTTTCTCCAAATGCAGGCATATCTTCTAAAGAGACTATTGCATTTAATTTTAGAACAACGCAAGCACCAAGTTTATTATTGTTTATCAGTACTTTTACTAAGGAGTATATTTCAATCATCATTTCAAGAAATGGTAAGAGTATTTGTATATATATATATATATATATATATGACCAACTGTAATTCATGCCTAAATCCTGATTTATGCGTTAAACATCACAGTTAATGAGATACTTGTAGAAACCGACTTCTTAACTGTTTGATGACATTTGCTACATTGTATGCTAAGGATACATTGGGGTCTATTCACGAAGCTTTGGCCCCAGGACCCCTTCGGTTCAGTAGAACCGAAGGGGTGCTGTACGGGCTATTCACAATAGCCCGTACAGCTCCCGAAAGATGTTGAATCGGCTGAGTCGAACTCCTTCTGCACTTCGGGCCGACCCGAAGCCACGTGCAGCAAGCCGTACCAGCCGTACCAGCCGTACCAGCCGTACCAGCCTGAAGTGAATAGCCGAACAGTGTTCGGCTCACTTCACTTCAGATCGGTCATTCACTCGGCTGCCCTCGGCAGCTTAGTGAATAGACCCCATTATCTCCTGAAGTTTGCAGACAGCAATCACTGCTTTTATGATTACTGTTGTTGCTTCTGTATTGGCTACTTCTCATTCCATGACAGTTCTTTAGACATTGCTGTGGGATAAAGAACATATGAATGTTGTGCTGATGCTTTTACTGCTGTACTGTTGGAGATAAGTGCCGCAATCACAAAACTGCAATACTTTTAATGCCCTGCATTTTTACCTTCAGGAATTACAGTTTTACAATCACTGCTTTTTGCAACATATTTTATTACACACAAGCAAGATCTCCTTTGTACTAATATTTTACTGCAGAAGAGAAAATAGCCTTAAAACATTGGAAGAGAAAACAGGAGGACAAAGTAACCTAAAACAATAGCCTAAGAACAATCAATCAGAAGAGAAAAAAATCTAAGAACATTTGATTTTGCCGCTGATTAAAATGCACAGAACAAATGTATATGTAGTTTTTCTGCATGAATAGTTATCATTTGTTTTTATACCTTTGTGTGCCATGATTTCAACTTTAATTAGAGCATTAATGTGCATTCACTTTGGATGGTCAACCAATGTCCGGTTAAACCTCACCTGATCCTGAAAGTTGTAGTCAAATGATTACTCCTTCAGTACATCTATTGTAAGATGTTTGTCCATAGTGTCCAAGTGGTGTTTCAATAAAATACTAAACTTGGAGGGGCGAAGCGGAGCACATTTTTAAACATGCTATGTAGTCACCAAAAAGAATATTGTTATGAGATCCTGACACTATGCAATCTCCACATACTTTAATATGCTTTACACGTATGTCAAACATAACAGAATGCTTTGACTGCTTCAGGATTGCCCAACGTTGATAAATGGTGGCATCCTAAAGCAGTTTTACCAAGATCTTGGCTGTTCCATTTTAAACAGCCACTGATGGATGTTCACATAGAAGTGATCCGGTGGATATACAGCTGCCTGATCGATTGTACGGTGCTGCAGAGTGTGCTCCTCCCCCGTGCTGCTGCCACCAGCTACCCTGGGCTTTCCTGTTCCCCATGCAGGCCCTGGACCAGCACAGAAGGTCTGTCGTCTTCAATCGGAGGGAGATCATAACACTCTAAGCTGCTGACCTCTCCTCTGATCACTGGACCTGGAAGTGATGTGTATTGCATCACTTCTGAGGTCCCTCTGTAATTTATCTGGCTCCTATAACCAGGAGAAGAAGCTGGTGAAGCAAATTGCTGCTTCATCAGCTTCTTTTTGGTCCCTATGTTATATTAGGGGTCTAATAGATCCCTAATGTCTCCATATAGAGGACCTGTCACATGCTCTTTAGTATTACATAGGGGGTTAATAGCCATAAAGTTAAGTGTAGCAAAAAAAAAAATGGAAGTCACATATAAAAAAAAATTTAAATGCAAAAAGTTTTTTCTAAAGTCCCCTGACCCCACGTATATGCACATACAAATGCAAACCTGCGTCAGGTGCACCTCAGCGTAAAAATGACGATTGAGACATAGATGTTACATATCACCACGAATGCTGGTGTGTAAGCAATAATTCTAGGACCATCAATCACAGTTAGCACTAAACTGATGGGTAGTATTGTAGTTTTTTGTGATTTTCTGGGCACAGGCAATTTTAAGGCTTGACATGTTTTACATCTATTTTCCTGACGTGACCTCAACTTTTATATTTTACCAAAAAATTGGGTATTATATTTCTGTGCACTAAATTTCATTTTAGTGTATTGTATCCTAAAAATTCTGGTTTGATAAACATTTGAGCAAATACCTTGTGACATAAAAAATGCAACTAGCAATTTCCTATTCTATGGGGCCTCTGCTTTCAGAAAATATTGTTTAATGATTTTAAGCTTTTTTCTAGCCATAAAATCAGATGTTATGATGTGTGTGCAAATATGAAGAAATTGCTCTGCACAGCAAGTAGTTAAAGGATTTGGTTTCAAGCGTCTTTCTGTCAGTCTCATAGTTAAAACAAACAACTTAATGTGTATTTAGGAAGTCAAGAGAATCTGTCAGGATGTCTGACACAACTAAGGCTCCCATAAGTCTGTCATTATCTGACACATAGCAGCAGTGCTAGATGACTGCAGGGTGTCCATGTATCATTATCTCACAGGATTCTTACAACTTTCACCCATAATTCCCATGTTTTTACTTTAATTACTTTAGAAAATTGTGTGACTCCTGGGTGAAAGTTGTGTTTCCTGTGAAAACATTTATAAATAGACCCCTAAGTAAAGCCACACATATTTGCTATTTTGCAGCACTAGCTATAGTGTACTGGATGGGAGCCATGACTGTGGCATTTACCAGACGTTGCTTTAGGATAATTGTTTATATTGAAATATTGAAAATGTATTCTGTTTTTCTTTAGGAAGTTTACAGATTAGATACAGATTGGATCATCAGCAAGATCCTGAAGTATTTAGTTTCCATTTTAAGAATCTAGCTGATGGCCACCTCCAGAAAGTGAAGATTTTGAGAAAGCAAGATATTCTGTTTGTGGAGGTATGCATGGTTTGTTTATAAAAAGTGAGGAATACACTGATTTTGGGGGAAAAAAATAAAAATTTTCTATATATGGGTTTCTGGTGCTATTTCTCTTGTAGTCCAGAGATGTTTAGGTACGGGGAACTGCTTTTTCTGTTTGCTAATAAACTGATTATATGGACAATTCACATAAATACATAACAGTAGACATCAATAAAACTGTGGCTATATACTTGTGCTTGGATGAATAATCGTATGTTTTACATCCCCAGTTTTCAATGTTATGATATAATATAGTGATCACTGTATTCATCACAAGAGCAATGATTAGTCAATATCTTTCTCACACTAAATAGAAGAATAAAAGTGCAGCAAATGTTGAGGAACATTATCCCTGTGTACATAACAGATAAATGGAACTCTGAGATAATATCTCAGAACTTTAAAATGTCAGAATTCTGACTACACTTCCTATATCAGTGTAATGGTTGGATAGCAATGGTTTCATATTGTAGATGTTCAACATTGCTACCACTGTCTTTTTTCCAAGCTGAACTCGTGCATCTGGTAGACAGAAAATCGGGATGAGATACCGTTCAAAAAGGAGGAAAGTAAGATAGGAAAATAAGACAAAGGGACTAGAGCCAACATAGGAATAAGAGATTAGGATTTGCATAGTTTTCAATACAATAAATTGGGATATACAGTAGGTACCAGCTTTAGTTGAACAATCCCACATATATATATAATATAAAATGTTTAGCAATGTTTCTATGATATATTTCCTTTTATTACATTATGATAATATGTTGCACTTTTCCTTTAGGTTAACGAATATACAAGTGAGAAATTTATTTTGACTTCTGGTACAGACTTCAGTTCAATCCATTCTCTTGAGCTTGGAAAGATATTAGGTAATAATTTTTTAAAGGATCGTGAATGTGACATAGTTTATCTCATTGATAGAAAAGTATGTCTGGTCGGTGAATTTAATTAAAACTGACAAGTAAGAGAAAAAAATGCCCTTTTGTCAAGTCAAAGCATCATTTCAAATGAGTGCTTCTTTCAGATTGGCAAGTGGGCTCTCCTGAAACTAATTTCACACTTATCTCTCCATTTTTTAATCAGACATCCGGGAACATGATATTTTCCTCAAAAGAGGATTGATTTATAAGTGCAGTACGTGATTCTGCTGTGATCAGAGGGGAAAAAAAGCTTAATGTGATTCAAAGTCAAATAAACCTAGTCGTATCAAGTATGAATGATGATAGAAAAACATAGCAATTACTAAAGCAATGTAGAATATAAAATATAACTGGTAGAATGTTTTATAAAACATCATAAATAATACAATTATAATTGTCATTGTATTGCTTTTTTCAAAACCAAGTTGGGCAGGTGTATAAGGAAATGTTTTAAAGTATTCAGCAGTACGTAATTATGTATATATACATTTTGGGATTAAAATTCAAAACCCCGCTCCAGGCCAAACTTCCAAAACATTTTTTTAGGTTGACTAATGCTGAAAAGAATGAGAACTTCTTTCTTAATGCTAGTGAAAACAGGTAATTTAGGCATCAAAGAACACATGTACATTGCTTGTACAATATTGTAATAGTACAAAACGTAATGTTAGGTGAAGAAAACATGTTAAAAGAAGAGGGTAACGTAAAGCACTTTACTCCAAACTGGAAGGAAACATATATATGATACATATCACCACGAATGCTGGTGTGTAAGCAATAATTCTAGGACCATCAATCACAGTTAGCACTAAACTGATGGGTAGTATTGTAGTTTTTTGTGATTTTCTGGGCACAGGCAATTTTAAGGCTTGACATGTTTTACATCTATTTTCCTGACGTGACCTCAACTTTTATATTTTACCAAAAAATTGGGTATTATATTTCTGTGCACTAAATTTCATTTTAGTGTATTGTATCCTAAAAATTCTGGTTTGATAAACATTTGAGCAAATACCTTGTGACATAAAAAATGCAACTAGCAATTTCCTATTCTATGGGGCCTCTGCTTTCAGAAAATATTGTTTAATGATTTTAAGCTTTTTTCTAGCCATAAAATCAGATGTTATGATGTGTGTGCAAATATGAAGAAATTGCTCTGCACAGCAAGTAGTTAAAGGATTTGGTTTCAAGCGTCTTTCTGTCAGTCTCATAGTTAAAACAAACAACTTAATGTGTATTTAGGAAGTCAAGAGAATCTGTCAGGATGTCTGACACAACTAAGGCTCCCATAAGTCTGTCATTATCTGACACATAGCAGCAGTGCTAGATGACTGCAGGGTGTCCATGTATCATTATCTCACAGGATTCTTACAACTTTCACCCATAATTCCCATGTTTTTACTTTAATTACTTTAGAAAATTGTGTGACTCCTGGGTGAAAGTTGTGTTTCCTGTGAAAACATTTATAAATAGACCCCTAAGTAAAGCCACACATATTTGCTATTTTGCAGCACTAGCTATAGTGTACTGGATGGGAGCCATGACTGTGGCATTTACCAGACGTTGCTTTAGGATAATTGTTTATATTGAAATATTGAAAATGTATTCTGTTTTTCTTTAGGAAGTTTACAGATTAGATACAGATTGGATCATCAGCAAGATCCTGAAGTATTTAGTTTCCATTTTAAGAATCTAGCTGATGGCCACCTCCAGAAAGTGAAGATTTTGAGAAAGCAAGATATTCTGTTTGTGGAGGTATGCATGGTTTGTTTATAAAAAGTGAGGAATACACTGATTTTGGGGGAAAAAAATAAAAATTTTCTATATATGGGTTTCTGGTGCTATTTCTCTTGTAGTCCAGAGATGTTTAGGTACGGGGAACTGCTTTTTCTGTTTGCTAATAAACTGATTATATGGACAATTCACATAAATACATAACAGTAGACATCAATAAAACTGTGGCTATATACTTGTGCTTGGATGAATAATCGTATGTTTTACATCCCCAGTTTTCAATGTTATGATATAATATAGTGATCACTGTATTCATCACAAGAGCAATGATTAGTCAATATCTTTCTCACACTAAATAGAAGAATAAAAGTGCAGCAAATGTTGAGGAACATTATCCCTGTGTACATAACAGATAAATGGAACTCTGAGATAATATCTCAGAACTTTAAAATGTCAGAATTCTGACTACACTTCCTATATCAGTGTAATGGTTGGATAGCAATGGTTTCATATTGTAGATGTTCAACATTGCTACCACTGTCTTTTTTCCAAGCTGAACTCGTGCATCTGGTAGACAGAAAATCGGGATGAGATACCGTTCAAAAAGGAGGAAAGTAAGATAGGAAAATAAGACAAAGGGACTAGAGCCAACATAGGAATAAGAGATTAGGATTTGCATAGTTTTCAATACAATAAATTGGGATATACAGTAGGTACCAGCTTTAGTTGAACAATCCCACATATATATATAATATAAAATGTTTAGCAATGTTTCTATGATATATTTCCTTTTATTACATTATGATAATATGTTGCACTTTTCCTTTAGGTTAACGAATATACAAGTGAGAAATTTATTTTGACTTCTGGTACAGACTTCAGTTCAATCCATTCTCTTGAGCTTGGAAAGATATTAGGTAATAATTTTTTAAAGGATCGTGAATGTGACATAGTTTATCTCATTGATAGAAAAGTATGTCTGGTCGGTGAATTTAATTAAAACTGACAAGTAAGAGAAAAAAATGCCCTTTTGTCAAGTCAAAGCATCATTTCAAATGAGTGCTTCTTTCAGATTGGCAAGTGGGCTCTCCTGAAACTAATTTCACACTTATCTCTCCATTTTTTAATCAGACATCCGGGAACATGATATTTTCCTCAAAAGAGGATTGATTTATAAGTGCAGTACGTGATTCTGCTGTGATCAGAGGGGAAAAAAAGCTTAATGTGATTCAAAGTCAAATAAACCTAGTCGTATCAAGTATGAATGATGATAGAAAAACATAGCAATTACTAAAGCAATGTAGAATATAAAATATAACTGGTAGAATGTTTTATAAAACATCATAAATAATACAATTATAATTGTCATTGTATTGCTTTTTTCAAAACCAAGTTGGGCAGGTGTATAAGGAAATGTTTTAAAGTATTCAGCAGTACGTAATTATGTATATATACATTTTGGGATTAAAATTCAAAACCCCGCTCCAGGCCAAACTTCCAAAACATTTTTTTAGGTTGACTAATGCTGAAAAGAATGAGAACTTCTTTCTTAATGCTAGTGAAAACAGGTAATTTAGGCATCAAAGAACACATGTACATTGCTTGTACAATATTGTAATAGTACAAAACGTAATGTTAGGTGAAGAAAACATGTTAAAAGAAGAGGGTAACGTAAAGCACTTTACTCCAAACTGGAAGGAAACATATATATGAACAAGAAGCAAATACATTGATCTTGATCACAGTTGTTATTTGTTGGTATATTTGTATTACCAATGTGGGGGTGTACTCCGCACCACATATAAAGATGTAACAGGTTTAAAATCAATTGGTACATCTGAATGTCAGCAACAGTGGTTGGCAAAAGCTAAAAAAAAGCAAATTGATCAAAAGCAAAAAAAAATTGATTTTGAAGTGTTACATCTCTGCATGTGGGTTGTTTAAGTGCAGACACATATATTTTGTGTTTAGGATGGACGTCTAAATGCATGACACAGCAGGAATTTTGTACATACAGCCCTGGTGAAGTAGGCACCATAATTACCCTGTAACATTGACTAAACTTCATGTCTCACAGAAGCTTAAATTGTAGTTCCAATTTGGCAAAACATCTATGTTTATGTGTGTTATATGTTCCCGTTTACATTGCATAACTTTAAAAAACATTGTTGGTTACATTTTTAAGTGGTTTATACTTGTTTAAAATCCTACTTAGCCTCACCCTTGGCATTGTTAATTTCATTATCAGTTGCAAACTAGATTTGAACACTGTCTGTCCTAACAATAAGGTAAAGACAATAAGGTTATTCACAAAAGAGCTTTGGCTGATCCTTCGGCTCTCTTCGGCCGCCTGAGCCCTTCGGTTTAGTCGAACCAAATTTTCACAATAGCCGTACTCATTGCCGTTTGGCCCATATGTGAATAGGTCGAATGGCAGCAAGTAGCCTGCCGGAGGTTCGGCTCAGCCGATCCAGATGTTGGATCAGCTGAGTCAACTCCTTCTGCACTTTGGGTCGGCCGAACATGGTGAGCATGTTCGGCCGACCCGAAGCCAGCCAAAGCAAGGCGATGTACGGATGAAATCAGCTGTATAAGCCTGAAGTGAAACAGCGTTCGGCTCACTTCACTTTGGGTCATTTATTTACACCGCTGTCTTCGGCAGCTTTGTGAATAACCCTGTATATATTTTGTGGTTTACCTTGCTCCTGTGCCAATAGAGGCATGCTTAAATCCTCAGTGACACCATCGCATGCTAAAAAAAATCTGGTTTAAGGAGGAGGGATCTGGAGGATTTCACTAAATCACATAGGATATTATGTAGGAGTGATTTGCATATCTACATTGGTGTATGGGATGGCACAAAACGGTGATAGCATTCTCAGTTCCTTGGCAACTAGAAGCTGAGGCATGCAGATGAGAAAGGGACAGAGGAAGGATAGAGACAGAACAGAGCTGCCAGTAGTTGTGTGAGAGGTGACAAGGGGAAGAGAACTCCCCTGTCATTGGTGTTATCACTTAGCAGTACTCATGTAATCTCACGCATCCTCCCTGTAGCTTTAATTTTTTTTTAGACAGTACTTTAATCTCCTAAATTTAAAGTAAACTTCTGTGTATTTCTTTAGTCCGGTTTCCGACTGCAGCTATCACTTCTTCCTCTGGCAGCTCCTCTGTACTGAGTACAGAAGTTGAAGTTTAAACTTTGGAGATTAAGGTACTAAAAAACTATTTACAACGGAAGAAAGGGTGGAGAAATTTAAACAATTACTGCAAACTTTGTCAGATTAGAGTAGGACACTTAGAAAACTCTGATTGCTTACTCAGCACTAGTTACAAGGTTGCTGAGAACTCTATCACTGTTGCTGAGGAGATAGACAGGGAGGGTTGAGATAGGTGGAGCAGCTAGAGCTGTATTTATATACTCTGCATAAATCTCTCCTCCTAGTTAGCGGTGACATGGTGATGCCTAAGTAGTGGGCATTAAAGGCGGCAGTTCATTTTGTGCACAAAGACCAGGCAGAAGTTAATGATCCCTGAACAAAAAGTACAACATTACCCGGGAAAAACAAACATTTTGATTGGTAGACAGTTTCCACAATATAAGCTTAAAGGGTTATTGAACACTCTCATGTTTTTGCATATATCTACACCTAGCAAGCTGTACATATATGCAAAACCATAAAAAAAGAAAAACGTTTTAAAAGGGTTAATACTTACCTGTGTCTCCGCCGCTTGCTCCCGTCCGAACATCTGAACATTTCTTGGCCAGCCGCCAAGGATCTTGGGTTAGGTGCATGCACAGTTCAGATGTGCAGCCAGGAGACGAGGAGAGGCACAAGGTAAGTATATGGAGCAGCGTGCACCCGCACAGACTCCGTGGGACATAAGAGAAGAAGAGGACAGAGGATAGACTTGTGCGCCGTCAAAAAATTTGTTCTGTTTCGTTTCGTTTCGGAAGGAAAAGATGATCGGATTAAATGACATTATTTAAGGTAAGTCCCTACAGCAGGATTGGAAAGGGGGGAAAAGTTTGACTTTAATGTCACTTTAAACCTTTAGACAACAAAAGAAGCATTTAGTCTTCACGGGAAATCCCAAGAAGAAAATATCTGTTTTACTGCATTGTGCTGCTAGATTGAGGCATTCCGGTTTGCTTCACTTACAACAGCTTAATCACAGATAAAAGGTAAAATCAAAGTACCAAATCAAACCATAAGAACATAGCTTGTAAACAATACGTGGTCATTGCTGTTGGTCATTAGGTACACAAGCACAAATGTAAAGCAGATATAAACAACAGAAATCAAAAGGACTATATATATACACACACACACACACATATTTATCTCCATGCTGGTACATCAGCAAACTCCTGTGGCACACAAGTTAAAAACAGTTCCAACAGCCCACTACATGACCACTTACCATCCTTTTATGTAAGGGCACTGATTTTGTATAGTGGTCTGGCCCATGGCCCACCCCATTGTTATTTACTGACTGACCCACCTCCGCCAAAGCACACTTAACGTGCTGCTGGCTGTACTTGGAGTAACAGGCAGTTTGAGTAGTCATAATCAATCTATACATTGCATGGGGGTACTGCATTTCAAGCAGAACCTTTTTTCTATGTCCTTTCATTCCCTTTCTATGCCTAAATGCATATACCTCTGTGATTGTACCGATTATAGGCACATGACTAGTGTGCCCTTAAAAAAATCAAATTTTCACTGCATTCCATTGGCTGTTTGAACACAGGTTCCCGAGGCAGAATATAAAAAGTTACTCTGACCTCTGGCAAGTGTGCTCTGCTAGATGAAGCTCGCCAGGTGGTCTTTCATCTTGCGTTTTCTGTTTGGATCTTCACTTTTTTTAATGAAAGAGTAAAGGTTAAAAGTAACTCTCATTACATGGTCTGAAAAGTTATTCCTTAAACACAGTCCTTCCTTAAATATACTTGCTTGGCATCTGAAAATGCTATTTCAAATAAATTGCAATGATGTTTTATGAAAACTTGAACAAAAGAAAGAACACCAACACAGTGCAAATCTTTCCATACATTTATGTCAATAAAATCAAAGAAGTGTACAAGGAAGCAACATATCTGAAGCAGGGCAAATGCAAAGGGCTTTTAGTCAACCTGCTAGTGTCCAGCAGGTTGATAAGGTAAACCAAGTAAACAGTGTATCCTTCTGATGCACAATCCTGTTGAATAACTCAAAGATCTCACCATTTTCTCCTGCATTTGATGCCATTAAAATGTGAGTTTTAGGGACATGATCATATGCCTCCTATTTATAGATACATGATTGAGTAATTGGGATGCACATGTCCATATTTAGGCCTTACGTGTACAGAGAGAAAAACAAAATATTTAGTATTGTGTATGCTAACAGTAAGTGCTAGTTTGTTTGCATGAATTTAGCTTTTCAATTCTCTCATTTTGGAACGCAAACATTACATCTGTCCAATATTGTTTATGCAGAAAACCTACTATGTCTTCATGTTATCCCCAGCACAGTAAGCCATCTTACCTGTTTAAAGCTTCACTTTGCTCTGAATTATAAAAGAGCATTTAACCTACCAATGCCTCCATCTAGCAACTTATTATTGCTTGGAAAACAGTCTTCTATCCATAACTGACAACATCAAGATGAGTTGAAACAAATATGAATGCATGTTCTTTCATCTCTTCTCTTCATCTTTTTCAATTTACTAACAGATGGTAGTGTGCCTCAGCAATAGATGTATATGTTTATTGAAACTCTAATAAAGTGTTTACTATATTTCTGTAACATACAGTAATTCTGTTGAAATGATCTCATTCTCATTAATGCTATATATGCATACATATAGCTATATGTTCAAACATTCATCTTGCATGTTGCAATTTTTCTGTAGAAAAATAAGTACATTGTGCCAGTAAGAGAAAATAGCTGTAAGATTAATGAAGAAATATTTCCAGGATAAAATGATTTGTAAATGTCAGTTTAATTACATTTGCAACTTGCAAAAGTTAAGCAAGATCATCTTTGGCCTGTAGACAAAGCTCTAAGTCACAACAAATCTATGCTTAAGCAACACTAAGAGGGTTATTCACAAATGATCCAAAGGATCCAGCCGTAGCTTTGGTCAAACCAAAGGGCTGCTGCTATTCACAATAGCCCGTACAGCAGCTGAAGGCAGCCGAGCGATTCAGGCGAGCCGAATGCATGTGCTTCGGCTCTGCTGAGCCATAGTGACAGGCAAAGCAAGGAGAACGGTCGGCCGAAGGGCCGACCTTTCTTCACGCTAATGACAGCTGGGTGGAGCCAATCCAAGATCATATGGCTTGCTCCGCCCAGTTGTAATGACAGATCAGCGCCCCCAAATTACCTTTTTTTAAATGTTCTATATTTTTCCATTTATTTAAACAATTTTTAAACCTTTTTTCCCCCCATTTATTTACTTTTTTCTATTCTGCTTGCTACCTCGGATGTAGCGAGCAGAATAGCCAAGTCCAAGAATGAGAATAGGGGCGAACGACAGCGAGTGAGCTTCAGCTCAGCCGAGTCGAAATCCCTCTGCACTTGCATGCAGAGCATGTTTGGCTGACCGAAGGCAGCTGCGGTACGACTGATTTCTGCCGTACAGAGCCAGAGTGGACAAGGAAACAAGTACCCAGCCTGGAAATTAACCCTAGGTTCCCTGACTAAAAAGTACACACACTTGTCACGCATTACTAAGGCCTGCTAAGAGTATATTAGTATGTAGCGATGCTATACTACAAGAGGTAAAAGATGCAGAATAATGTCTCTAAACATGTTTTTTTCAAGTTACATAAAATCTTATAAGCACATTTAAAAAAAATATTATATTGCATGTTTTTGTTTTGTTCAAATACATTTCTACACTGAATATGAATACTGGTTATTGTCATTTATGTAATTGTTATAAGCCTAGTAGAGAGAAACAAATTATGACTTTATTTTTTAGCTGAAGACATCGATATTGACCTAGAAACCATGAAAGCCAATGCAAATGGATTCACTGGATGTCTCTCTGCTGTGCAATTTAATAATATTTTTCCACTGAAGATTGCATTCCAAAATAATCAAAATAATCATAGCTCTCAGATTATGATAAATGGTCATGTTTCCGAATCTGGCTGCGGTTCCCTAAATGGTGACGATGCATTATCAGGAGAAACAACTCATTCATTTGCAGGTACTATGAATATTACTACAAGAGTTACTATTGTATGCAAAATACTACTAGAGTTACTATTGTATGACAAATGTTGACTGTATTTTGAGTGCCTTTATGTAACCTTTTATTTTATTTTTTTCTTTACTAAATAGAGTTAATGAATTTGCAAGAACAGTAAAATGTAAATTAACTGAGCAAGAGCCAGAATATACTGCACATGTTAAAAAGAGTATGTACACCTTAAACCATAAATGGTTATTAGGAGCTTTGCAGCAAAACAAAATGTGTTACTATAGCATTTACAGTAAAAAGATGTATATAATTATTAGTGATGATAATTAGAAGAAAACAGGGAACCTAATGATGAGTTTGAAGGCTATGTCTTGCTATGTAGACTAATGGCCCATTCACACCATTCGCATCGCGTTCCAGAGCGCCAGCTGCTGGAATGCACAGCAATCCCTCAATAAACTTCCTCCTTCGCTCTGGGGTGGGAGGGGGTGTGAGGTGCATTGAAATCAAAACATTGCCTGCATTCCGGTCCGCTGCTTTATTTTTTTGCGTTTGCAGTGGACCAGAACGCAGGCAATGTTTTGCCATGGGTCCAATCGCGCAGCAGGGCATGACTGCAGTGCCATAGATTGTGTTGGTCTGGAATAAACTAGAACTGTGGGCAGGTTCACACCATTTTTCTGACCAGATCTAGACTAAATCTGGTCCGGAAAATGGTGTGAACCTGCCCTAATAAAGTGTTATTATGTTGGTTAAGAAAAGAAAATTGCTGCAGTGCCATTATTTTTTACCATCACATGTATGTTGTATTGCACCACAACGCATGCTGTTTTAAAAAAAAAGGGTCATGCACTTGTTTAGTGTGATTTAGAGGCAGTGGGCAGCCCATGTCCTACCACAATGCACTAGAAACACTACATATGCAATTTGTTTTTAATTCAGCTTAAACTGATAGAATGTTTTAAAAGAACTGACTGAGCAAGTATAAAAGTGCGCCTATGATAAGTCATCCCCCAAATTTTATTTAAGGCATCTAGTTGGCAATGAAGTTACTATTAACTGGGATTTATATAGCACCAATATTTTGCATAGTACTGTAAGGGAGCACACACTGGAGTAAAACAATTAAAGGCAAAAAAGGTTACAGTCTAAAGAGGAGGAGCTAAATTCTTCATGTTATGTGGTAACATTTTTTACGAACACTGTAGAAACTACCTGTCAATATAAAATGAAGACAGCAAAGGAACTACCAGCCTCTTGAATGCTATGGAAAGGCATTGCTTACCAGTTTTTGAAAACCTTGTTGATTATTAGTTTTTTTCCTTTGCCTGGGGCCAACGCTTCATGCAAAACTGTATTAATTAGTTAGTAGGGGACATTGGCAGCCATTGATAATGAACTGTCAATGATTAAGATCAAGTTCAGCCAAAATGTCAAGTTAAGCCCAAGAACTTTGACCTTTGTGCTACATTCTGTACTTGAAGAAATAAAGGATCATTGGCAGACACAGTTGTAAGTGTTGGCTTGTGAATTTGACAATAATTTAACTGCCTTTATGCACCATAACCAGCCTTAACTAATGAAAAAAAACAAGTTAAAACAGAAAAAAATACAAATTCCTAAGATTTTATAGCAGTTATCTTGTTTTTATAGAAATATGAAACAGGACAGAGAATTTATGTCTCAAAATATATATTATGCATTAAATGCAGTGCAGGAAAGCCACTAAAATATATTAGTAAATTAAGTAACCGCATACAATGCACTGATTTTCATGTTTTTTTTTCTTGGATTCAAAATACTTTTTGTAAAAAGCTCGGGCAGACTGCTAATGTCATCAGCTAGCATTAAATGCCATATACAGCACACATACACTGCATTTAAAAGACTATTTTTAGAGTCCAGCTTTATAGTATATATCCTGAACAGTTCCTCTTCTGGTTTAGTTTCATTATGCACATTGAAAAATTATTTTAACCAGTTCAGCTCTCCCACCTGTATACCCCTTATGGACCAGAGAAATGTTTACATTTCAGCTAAGGGCCTACTGATTTGGCGTTATCATTACTTAAGATAACAAAGTGATTCTTTTTTTGGGTACAAACTTGTCTTTCTATTGGTAATATTGTCTTGAAAAAAAAACATTCATTCAAAAAATTTCATTTTTTATTAACTTTGCAATAAAAAAAGTGCATTTGTTTTGCTTTGCTACATATTTTTCTTTAAATTGCATAAAATATTTTTCAATGTTTTATCTTCTTTGAAATGTATCACTTAAACATTTAAGGAAGAACAGATGGGGATAGATGTACTACACATGTCCAAAGTATTTAGTTTTTTTTGGGTGTATATAGATTGCCCAATGTATATAACTGGTTAAAGATGAACTGAACTGCAGAAGCTGTGCCAAAAAAAAGAACATAATGGGGCAAAGTGCTTGTCATCAGTATTACATTTGGCCTCCCACAGCTGTTTTTTTTTTGTCATCACAGACTTACCATGTCTTATTCTGCCCAGTGTCCACACAGTGTGCCAGTGTGCCAAAGTGTGGCGTTGGCTATCTTGATAGAGGTAGGATTTGGCTTCTTCATGTCAGAGCCTACAGCAAGGAGAACCGTAAGCATCACAATAGGGACATCTCACACCCAATCTCCTGAGACTAGCAGCTAGAGGCAGCAAGGCCTTAGATCTCAAATTGCAGATATACAGCTATGAGGCTGCAATTACAGGAGTGCCAAGGCACCCTCACATACAAGAAAGCACACTATTGTTTTTCAGGAGAAACTAAAGACATAGGGTATATTTTTCATGGTACTGTTTAAACACAATTAACACTTCTAGGTGTTCCCTATAACATAGCAAAGTATCACTTTTTGAGGTCAGGTCTACAATAAAATGTTTATAATTGAATAATATCTTTGTAATAAATACATTATGGCTGTGTATTAAGCTAGAATAAGGTAAACATAAAATGTGGTTTCTTTTTCTTGCCTACTCTTATGTGTTCCTTCTGCAGATCATTCAAGACCAATGGATAATGGAGAACCACTAACTAATGTGTTGAAAAGCAGTGTTGCTGTTGTTGGAGGTAATACAAATATTAGTTATATATACTATGGTTAGGTAATGATTTTCTCACTTCAGACTTTAAAAAATTATCATCTTAAATGTTTGACAACTTCAAATTTCATCTAGCACAACTTTATAACATTCACATTCTATACAGTGTAAGCAACAGAATAAACGTAGATAATCAGAAGCTGCCATTTAAGCAATGTTGTCTGTTTCAAATTTCAGAAATACGTAGAATAATATTACTATCCAAACTCACACTATAGGAATATACATGTATGCTGGATGAAGCTTTGACATTCAAAACAATGGTTTAAAATGTAACTGCACTTTCACGATACATTATGGATTCATACAAATCCATGAAGCTTTTTGAATAATATAAAAGTAATGGGTCACTAATGATAAATCCTTTTTCCTGCTGCATGGCCTGGCTTTGTTAGCATCCATGTTTTTTTTCCTCGCCATCTGTAGAAGGTACTGTTTAGAGATGGAAGACTTGCTCTAAATTGAGCTGAATGAGTGACTTTGCTCCCACGCTCTGTCGGAATTGCAGGAAACAGGACTTCTCTTTAGCAAAGGCAGCCCATTGTGTTGCCATGTACAAATGTATAGTTGCAATTTTTCACAAAACCATAGCTACTCATCTATACAACTACTGATTTTACACTGTATAAATAAGAAGCATTTCAGTTTCAACTTTTCATGACCGGGGTGGAAGCAATGTCAGAATGTGTTGATTAACTTGGCAATAACCCTATGATTAAATTTAACAAATTTTAACAACATGCTGTATATATTTGATTAAACACTTTAAAATATACCTGCTCAGATTCATTATTATAGGCTGAAAAATGGACGAAAAAGTGAATTAAAAAACCCCAAAGTTTTTTTTTTTTTTTAAACAATGCTCTGTTAATGCATAGAACAATAAATGCACTTTTAGCTTCAGCCTGAAAGGGGTGTTCATTTTATAGTTGACATGGTGATTATATGATCGGAACCATGTTTTTTGGTTTCTGAACTTGGCAGATGCTGGGAGTTGTCAGTGACAGTGTGGTTTCTAAACTCTGTCATGGAACAGATATAAGCTGCTTCCCCTTGCATCCTTTAAAGACTCAAATTGTGCTGTGGTAAAGCTTAACCTTTGCATCAAGCACTGCCTGAATCACTGACCTGGAACAAATATGTCATAAGTGAAGCCGAAACTGCATACTTTTCTGCAGTCAGTGAGTGGAATGCAGAGGGTACGCATGATAGCCAGGCAAGTCGCTTATTCAGGAGAAGGTCCATATTGGGTTTCCCCATCCAATAAAATTCCTATTTAACATAACTGAAACTCTTTAATCTTCAGTTTCCAGGGTGGGCCTTCTCCAGGTAGCCCTTCAAGTAGAGCTATTCGATTATCCTTATCTCATCTGGGTAAATTAAGTCCTACTTCAAGGTCTATAGATAAAATAAAGATATTACTGATTTTATTTATATACATGTGTATCCTTTATGACACTTGAACTCCCCCTTTTAAAATCATTGTCTAATTTTGCATTTTTACAGGTGTCATAACTGTTGCTGTATTCATCCTGTTATGCATCTCCGGCATAGCAATAAGAATATATCTCCAGAAGAATACATATAAAAAGAATGAAGCCAAAGAATCAGAACATGAGGACAATGTACAGGCAGCAGCAGCATTGAAAGCTGAAATCAGTATGCAAAATGCAATCAACGAAAGTCAAAAAGAATACTTTTTCTAATTCGCTCTCATTGTGCAGCCAAACAATGGGACAGACAGACTTTCTTGCTAAGCAAGGGGCACTAGATGAACACCAATTTCAAATCATTGTACATGCACTGCAAGAAAATGATGGACTGGATCAGTATTAAAATGGTTATGATCAGCCACGGTGATGTTTAAATAGCCCTCTAAAACCACTTGCTTTGGGTGGCATTGCAAGCATTCTCGGTGATGGCAATCACTGTATTGTGCACTCTTTAGTTGTTAATAGTGCCTGGTTGTTCTGATGTGACTTTTCAAATCTGCAGATTTCCGTACTGAGTTATGAATTTCAGACTATCCTGATGTTGAAACTCTTATAATGTCTGTGTGATTGAAACCTTTTATTTATAGTACAGTCTGAACTGTAATATTTGCTTCAAAAGGGAGAGGAAATTTAGTGTTTTTATATTGTGATCTTGTTTTCTGGTTCATTACCAGAAATGCCTCTAAATGATTTATGCCACATTAAAGATTCTTCAAATCAAAAAGAACCTTTGTGTAAAAATTACTCACAACTTCGGAGTTGTTCCCGACTGATCACAGTTGCTATTACCCAATGATAAACTGCAAATCCTTAGGTTGGCTGTTCATCTTTACAGTATTTATTCCAGAAGAAACAAATACAGCATAGTAAAACTATAATGATGCTTTACAAGTCTATGCCGATTTCTTTAATTGTATTTTCTTCTACTACTTCACTTACTGACTGAGGGGAAGAGGGCATATACCACCTTTTAACAACAGGTTGTATCTGGTAACAGATTTGAACTTGAACCCATGTACAGGGCAACAGCAAACCAATCACAAGTAGTTATGTTTTTGGAAGCCCTTTTTATTGCATTTAGACATATTTATCATATTGCAATCTTTTTATGTGATAGATTGCTGATTCATTTATTTTCTGTAGAGGAAACAAAATAAACCTATTGCTGCTAATGCATATTATTCACTCTCTATTTGTGGTCAGGCCTACTGAAATAAACCAAACTGTCATTTTTTTATTTGTGCAAAAACTTGGTAATGCAGCAAAATAAAATCTGAGAAAGTACAGCCTCACAACATTTATTTTATCCCTTCTCCAGTGGTGTAAAAGGTAATGTGCCCCTTTATGCCTAAATATTGGTTGTTGACACTTCCTCTTATAACAAATACATCCAAAATGGCATCAACAGTGTATTACACTGTGGTTGCTGTCTTTAAATATTATATTGTTTGTGTACTTTTTCCAACTTTTTACACCTACCTAGAAAGATCTCCTTTTTAGGTGGCTGTACAAGAACGGTCTGTCACCCGGCATGAATGATCTTGAGACAGTTTGTTGTGCGTGGCATCCAAACAGCACTGCGAGGCTAGCAAAACAGTTGTTTGTAACAGTTTGATTTGCCATTTTATAGTCTGTCACTGAATACCAATGGGTCTCTGTCCTGTGATACTTAACACCCAATTGAACTTTCAGTTTAAATCAGCTAAACAAATTCCAGGTGCATAAAAACAAAACATGTGCATCATTTTACAGTTGGTTTTCTTTAGAAAGCATCCACATATTGAATAGACAAGCAGGTCCTCTGCCAGCATGGTGTAGAGAAGGCACCTTGCCTTGTGTGTGGAAGCCGTGGTCTCTCGGCAGAGGTCTGATATGTGCCCTTGTAAATCAGACCTATGGCTCAGCTTTAGCAAAGTTCATGTTCCTTATTGCTTGAAAAGCTCCAACTCTAACTCCACAGGGGCGTGATTTGAATGTTTGCTTCCACACACAGAGCAAGGGTAATTGTCTGCTGCATGCTGGCAGTGAACAGGCTTTCTGTTCAGGCTGTGGCTGTTTTCTAAAGAAAAAAAACTGTACGTCTTTTGCACATCTGGAGTGTGTTTAGCTCATTTAAACTGAAGGCTCAGTATAGCTTTAACAAGAGGAAGCAGTGGTAGATTTCCTGCTATGACTAGTTTATTTGCTGCTAAGGTAAGTGGAGGGGTGTGCAAAGATCTAATTGATACTAATCTACATGTTTAGTTAGCCTCAGAATAAAGTAATTGTTTAAGGTTTTCAAAATATTAAAAATGGTTTAACTGTTTCTATAACCCGAATTGATATATCAGGAGGCGCTAGAGGTAATCGTACACAGTCTCTTATGCAGAGCTAATGTTTAGGCATCTATGCAGGAAGCAGCCCCAATGCAGTGAGGGAGACTGAGGACACTGTAAAACAAGACAAGAGAGGGGCGCCTTTTCCTAGTGCAGATCAGTTTTATTCAACAATTGGATAAAAATATATAAGTAGACAGGTACTCACAAAGGTGGATAATCCACGAGCATTTAGAACAGTGCAGAGACCGGACTGAAAGAGTAACAGTAGTAGTCTGTCTTATACATCCTATGTGCAGATCGGTATATAGGAGTGACATTGACGCGTTTCATCAGGACCTGATTTACAGTTTCTATAACCCCTTTTAACATACGCCTTAAATACTTGACTAAAGATTGTTTCAGACCAGAAATAACATTTGATTACTTAAACTTAAAGCCCATTTCCACCTTTGCAGAGGTATTTAAAAAAAAAAATATGCCAGCAATGTACACCAAGTCAAGGTGAATCAGGCAAATTAAGTTGCTGTAAATGAGCACAGAAACTTAAATTTTTTGTTAGCTTTCCTTTTCATATCCTCATGGAATTGGCCGCCTCTGTGTTGTGCAACCAATGGGTGTATATTACAGCTGAGCTCTCTCTGTGAGCTCTCCACCCCTCCATTCATTAGTATTCATAGTGGCAAACCCCCCAGACAGTGTATTGTTTAAAAAGGCAGAGCTGGTATTTAGTGATCATGTTTCACAGAATCACAGGGAGGGGGGCAGCTGTTTACAGCCTGCTTTACAATCCTACGGTGTCAGACACAAAAATTTTAATTTATAGGATTCAGGCCTAATAAAAAGTTTAGAAACACATATACATCATCACTGCACCTCTACATTACCCCAATAAATGCCAATCACTTACAAAGGTGAAAATTGACTTTAAATCAGCCATAAATTAATTATGGAGGTGCAAACAATCGGACAGTTGGATGATCTTTATTTATTTTACTTAGATGCATAGACACGCATGATTGTAATGCTTAAACTTGAATGTCTATGCACTTATCAGACACCTCTGGAACCAGTCTTAGTTTGGGAGATCAGTGGTTATTGGCCTTGAAACTGCATCATGGTCAATCCTATATTCTCTTAAGTATAATTGGCCGGGGTTATTTGCTTTGATCTAAAACTATCTATAGACATAGCAACATTGTCAGGATTGAAAGACTAATTGTTTAGATATATATAGCATCAGAAAACATAGTTTACAAAATATGTATCACTCAGCCAGCTGTAAATTCTTCTATGGATCTTAATGGATCCCATCGGGGCCTAAAAAATAAATTCTAAATGACTCTAAATCTATAAAAACATTGCTACATTTGAGAATAAGGATGAACTGGCTTTCATACAAAAAAGGGTTTTGGTTAGTTAACAAAATTACATCTTTTAAGAAATGTACCCACGTACCTTTATAAGCATGGCATACTCTATGAAGTAGTAAAAGCCATATATTGTTTCCCAAATTTTTAATTTCTCATTATTAATTTCCTGCTAATTTGGGCAAATTATTCCTCAAAAGTATTTAATTGGTTAACTCTGTATAAATTTAAACATGCAATAGGTAGAAATTATAACAACACACAAATATGAAGCCTTTATCTATCTATCTATCTATCTATCTATCTATCTATCTATCTATCTATCTATCCCAAATATGTAAAATATTTTGCAATCCAATATTATATCTCAAGAATTAAAGAAGACTAGCTAATATTTACATACAGTTGTATCTCCAGTTTATAGTAAATATTGTATAATCATTTAGCAGTCCTTGCTTAATAATGACCCTGTTAGCTGTTCAAATATAGTGAATGCAAACGTTACCATGACATATTGATTTTCACAACAAATGTAATCTTACATATCCTCCTACAAAGCACCTTATAAGGCAGTATTGTTCATGAAAACAGAGTAAGCTTATATAGTTAAACATATTGATATTACCAGCTAACATAACATATGTCAAAATCTAGATTAGAAACTACCTACATCGTACAGACACCCTTTTTTAACCCAGAACAGATGATTTCTGTTTAGTTTTATTTATTGATTCTGAACTGAACGTTGATGGGTGTACATTCCAAAAATGTATTTGAGAGATTAGCAATAAAGAAATTCTTAAATTGGCTCAAGATGAAATACTAGACTAATTGAATATTTAACCAGTTGACATCCGCGGTGTTAAACCCCCTTCCAATCCAGGCCATTTTTCAGTATTCATCGCTGCGGTACTTTGACTGACATTTATTCCGTCATGCAGCGCTGTACTGAAATTAATTTTATACCCTTTTTTGGGGACAAATAGAGCTTTCTTTTGGTGGTATTTATTCACCACTGGGGTTTTTATTTTTTTACTATATTAAGGAAAAATTACCGAATTTTTTTTAAAAAAACAGTTTCCCCTATATTAAAATTAAACAATGAAAGCCATGATTAAAATAAAAATGTAAACTTTTTTCATTTTGACACTGTAAATGGAGTATTAATATTTCAAAGCAAAGGCCCACTCAAAAATGTTTTATTTTTTCAAATTTTGGACAAATTGTAGAGTTAAACTTCTGTCAAGTTTTTTGCTGTCTGGGTCCCCATTGTGTAGATTTTCCATCACATCTTAAATATAATATACATTTATATTAACCACCTTCAGCTCCTCAGCTCATAGTGTTGTACC